CAAAAAAAAAAAAAATTAACAATAAAAAAAAAATCATTTATTAAAAATTATTTTACCTGTCTTTTTGGACTGGACTAATTCATATTCATCAATTTCTATGGAATCACAAAGGATCTTTCTTCCTTCAAGCAAGTTCTCAAAATATCTGGTAAAAATTGCATCTTTTTGCAGTCTTTAGGCTCTCTCTTGTAGGGGTTCGTTCATTTGGGCGTTCTTGTTTTTATTTATTTATTTTTCCTTATTTATATCTTATTTTGTTTTTTATTTGGTCTCATTGTTCATCTGAGAAGGTAAAAGATGAATTTAAAGTCTGAACGTTAATTTATATTATATTTTTCAGCGTTTTTCTCATACGGATTTGCCCCTGAATCTGGTAAATCTCCCGTTTCTGATTGTTGTGTTTCGACTGCTAGGGTTTATCCCCTTACATTTATTAAAAGCTCTGTTTTTTATTAGTATTTTTCTCAATTTTTGAACTTTTGTACCCGATCTGCATTCACGTTTTCAGCTTATTTAACAAATGCTATATCGAAAACGATGATTTGGTTCTGGACTTCGAAATGTTTTTGGTTAGCGTGTTCGATTGTGTACTGTATCGTTCATGGATGTGGTAGACTCAGTGAAATGTGAAGGGATTTGAGAATAATAAGCTTAGCAAATAGCAATTACAGACTGGCTTCGTTATGAGTCCGTTATCACCGGCGAGTCCTGATTTTTATAGTGATTAATGACTTCACAGCTGATCTGTGTTGTCATAATCGAGTATACATTAGTTGTCTTACCCGGCATGGATTATAAGGCGTTTACATGATGGAAATGGAATGTGGATTGTATGTCCGATTTACAAAGTAAGTTAGTTCCCTGGTGTGTTGTCTTGGTTTGTCAATACTTATAGAACACAGACCAATCAGTTAATCCGAACTCTACTATGTCAGTAACTTTGCACTCACATCCTATGTGTTTCATATTGTCAGAGTATGATGGCCTATAACAAGCATCATTGCATTTGTTTATGAGTTTTGATTGTTAGGGCACTTATGGTCTTAAAGTTGGCCACATGACATTTTTGTTAGGCAACTTTGGTTCGGTTAACAGTGTGACTCCTTCCCTTGGTCTTATTCAAATAGAATAAGCCCCTTTCTCCTCCGTTCATACCATAAACGTGCCCTGCTCCAACCTGAAAAATAGAAATCCAGGGAATGCTTTGTAGTTTGTATACAGACTAGTTGCATCCGGCTTCCTTCTACTTATTAATCACTACTACTCGACAACTAAGCTATTTATATGTTTAGCTTAGAACACTTAACCCCGGACGACATGCAGAACCACCAACTGTGGTAGTAATTTCGGCTTCATATGTTTAGCTTAGAACATTTAACCCCGTTAGCAGTCTTTTCTCATCATTCTAGTATGTAAATATACTGTGATATGAAACTTTCTGGTCCATATGTTTGTATATTGTTGTCTTCTTGTCTTGATTATGCGCTACTATTTCTGATCCGACTTCTTGTTAATTCAGTGTCCAGGCAGATTAGCATCTTCTTTCATTGGTCTCCAAAAGACGAACCAGGGAATGCAAAAAAATGTTCTTGATAAGACTTTCTTACTCTGGGTACTACCGCATCTTGGTCTTAACTAAGTTGATATTCTTCAGTCTGGATGAGCGAGAATCAAGTAATTGGTCCATAACTTCCGAATTACCTGTTTTGCTGACGTGAAAAATCTTCCCTGAGGTTGGATGAGGCAATTTACATTTCCTTTCATTCATTATCAGAGGTTAATATTATAGATTAATATTATTATAGATTTTTCTTGTTTTTCTTTTCTGAATAAAGAAAGTCTTCATAGATTGATATGGATAACCGAGGAAATATACTGATGCAAAGATACGAGTTGGGCCGATTACTAGGTCAAGGCACCTTCGGGAAAGTCTACTATGCCAGAAGTGTCCAGACAGGCCAGAGTGTGGCCATCAAAGTTATCGACAAGGACAAGATAACCCGAGTCGGGATTATCAACCAAATCAAACGTGAAATCTCTATAATGAGGCTCGTCCGCCACCCAAACATCGTTTACCTGCACGAGGTCATGGCCACGAAAACAAAGATATACTTCGTGATGGAGTATGCCAAGGGAGGCGAGCTTTTTGACAAGCTGTCCAGGGGCAAGCTTAAAGAGGACGTGGCTCGAAAATACTTCCGACAGCTGATTAACGCTGTCGACTTCTGCCACAGTAGGGGCGTTTACCACCGGGACCTGAAGCCGGAGAATCTTTTGTTGGATGAGAATGAGAATCTGAAGGTGTCCGATTTTGGGCTGAGTGCCCTGGCCGAGTCAAGACGGGCTGACGGGCTTTTGCACACCACGTGTGGGACCCCTGCCTACGTGGCACCTGAGGTGCTCGATAGGAAAGGGTATAATGGTACAATGTCCGACGTTTGGTCGTGCGGGGTCATCCTTTTCGTCATGCTGGCGGGGTACCTCCCATTTCATGACACGAATCTGATGGAGCTGTACAGGAAGATCGGAAAAGGTGAGGTTAAGTTCCCGAGGTGGTTCTCCCCTGAGGCCCGGAGGCTGATATCGAGAATACTTGATCCGAACCCGAATACGCGAATCACGATCGCGAGAATCCGTACGAGCACTTGGTTCAGACGAGGACTGTCAGTGAATGATTTTTCGGAAAATAATGGGACGAGTAATATCGGTTCTGAGTCGCAAGAGGTCCCCAGGATATCAAATTTGAATGCGTTTGATATAATATCACAGTCGAATGGGTTTCGTCTCTCGAGATTGTTCGAGGAATCTTGTAGGAGTAAAGAAATGAGATATGTTTCGTGGAGGCCCGTGAATGTCATAATTTCCAAGCTGGAAGAGATTGCCAGGCGTATGAAGCTGAGGCTTAACAAAAAGGACGGGGGACTGTTTAGGTTCGAGGGATTGAAGGAAGGTAGGAAAGGAGTGTTGTCGGTTGATGCCGAGATATTTTCGCTCGCGCATGGTCTACATATGGTCGAGGTCCGGAAGAATAGTGGGGACACGTCGGAGTACGAAAAGATGTTGGATGAAGGTATAAGGCCCGGTCTTGCTGAAATTGTTTGGCATTCGCAGGATGGGCCTCGGGCCCAGCAGGAGGAGCTGCCCGAACAGGTGCGGGATCAAGTTACTTGACATCCGGCTCCCATTGATGTTTTGAGGTTCTTCAGCAGGTTCTTAGGTTTCAACGAGTGTGCAGTCGAC